AGAAAATGTTTCTGCGATAATGTTAAATTTCCATTCGATTTATTATAGCTTTCGCCCGCGACTCCGTCTGCGTGAAATTAAAAATAATAAGCCTATGTTACTGACTGACAATGTAGCTTTATGACGGTGAAAGAATTTTTGAAATCGGCTCAGTAGTTTTTGAGTTATTTCATTACAAAGTTTTTCTCTTTGTAATATTAGTATAGATTAAAAAAAAGATTCCTGGCAACTATAATTGGCATAACAATATCGATCTTTCGGAAAACCCGTTACAATTAATTTTAAAATATATAGATAAGGTTCTAATCTGTTTTTAAGAATCAAAGAATTATTATTCATCTGTTAAAGTTCCTTTTAAAAAGCAAAGTTAATCTATTTAATAGCGGAAGCGATAAGTTTTTTGATAGGAACTGATTTGATACATTGTAATTATATTACATTTTAAATCTTAATGTATTATTTATGTTTTGCCATCGGCTTTAATGTCAAAAACATAAAAGACTTTTTACAATAACAACGTCAAAAAATTGACGCAGTTATGCCAAACATAATAAGTGCATTGTACAATCGCGGAATCCCGCGGTGTTCCACTTTATGAAAAATTGCCTTGATCAGTGTAATGAGAAAAACTACGCCTCTTCCTACAAATTAGATAGTAGTGAATGGTGCAAACGAAGGGATAATAATAACACACATAAAAAAACATACAGACGAATTGAGTACCTCCTTCTATTGGGAAGTCGGTCAAAAAAAAGAAACTAACCATGTATTACCAACCGACTTTTACTCCGCGTCTCGTTTGAAAATGTTCAAACTATTATAGCTTATATGGTGGATTACCGCCAGTTTCTCCGATTGTACATCTGTTCTATTTATACTAGAACTAAGATGGGTAAAGTCAAAGATAAAAGTGTTATAGTAAAAATGTATAATTGTTTATATCTCCATTTTCAGAGGCCATGGCACCACCCAGTTATGAAGAAGTGGTTGGTATACACTACCCCAACTACCAACCTCCAATGCAGCCAATCGCACAGCCCATAGCAACCGCTATGGCACAGAACGCTAGTGCCAATGTTGACACCGAAGCTGCAACAAATAGGGACAATGAAAATCCATCCAACACACAAACAACACTAACAGTCACTAATGAAAGGAGCAACACCGCTGCAGTTGCTGTCAGCTCATGATGTGATCGCTTTTGACTTTGACAGATGTCACTTACTAGCCAAAGATTAAAGAGTACGCAAAGAGTAAATACCACTTAACTTTTTATTAATATTATCGTGGTATTTACGTTAATAATCATCTTGTCAAAGCAACGAAATACATTTTTAATAGAAAAAATATTCCAGTGTGAATAAAGTGAGACAACGCATTTATGATTAAAAAAATAAAACAATGGATTAAAAGACTGTAATGCTTAAAATTGATTTATTCCAGTAATTAAATTTGTATACTACTGGACATTCATTGATTTTCGACGTAATATCGCACAGACTATAAATATATGGCGCCTTATTTGAGGCGAGACTTTAGTTTTTTGGAAAGAATAATTTACAGTCTTCATTGAGGACGTAAGGCTGTTTATTATTTTTTTTAATCTGTTGCATTTAACGAAAAAGGATATGTATATATAATAAATTGACCGTAACGTTAAGTGTTTGTACATACAATGTTACTTATTTGTAAAGATATCATATTTTGATAATATTTATGTAATACATGCTTAGCTTTAAGAATTACGTTGTTTTATTTATTATTAAACAATATCCTAAAAATCTCCTAGTCTCTATTCAAAAGTACAATCAGAATCTTTAAAACTGGTGTGTCTGTTTGTAATCTATATTATTATAATAAAGCGTAAACATACAATTCTTTGTTGCCTAAGATGTCAGCAATCACAGCATCTTCTTAAACAATTCTTTTTTTTAATGAAAAGCCCTACACTTACGTCACGCTTTAGGCTACATATTTTCACGCCGTTAAACTTAGGGGTAAATATTTTGGATAAAAACCCTAATGTGGGAAAGCGACCATAAGTTGTTGCCAACATCAAGGAAGCAAGGTTAACATGGTTTAACATCATGTCATGTCATTTGGACATTTGCAATTGATAATTTGACAAATGTGAACAATAAAATGAAATTTTTATCATTGCGGATGAAGTCGCATGGGAACAGCTAGTATTTTACATTTGAGTTGCTGATATCTGGTCATATCTGTGACCGCGTGTGTTCCTGGTAATCTCCTAAACGGATGAGTCAATTTTGATGGCACTTTCATTGGAAGGTAGCTGATGTTTCTGAGATCTATACTGTTATTATCGGGGTTATCTTACTAATATTATAAACGTGAAACGTTGTATGGATGAATGTTTGTAAGAGTTTGCTGCCTAAACTGTCAAACGGATCTCGATTGTCGATAGTCTGGAAGAACACATAGGCTTACTTTGGATTTTCATAATTTCTCAGGAGAAAGCTAGTAAATATAGAAAAGGAAATTGATAACATAAAAGAAAAGATAAAGATCGAACATCAGAAATTATCTTTTATATCTTTCGGCCAATGACGTGATTCTGACAAAACACTGACGCTATTTCTTCAGATAAAAAAGATGTTTGTCCAAATATAATATCAATGAACGTAAATATATTATCTTTGTACATTCATCAGGGTAATGTTCAATCCATCAAGATTTTAGCGAATTATTGTTTTTTTTTAGATTCCATCGATTTTTTATTAGTAGATAAACGACTATACTTTCATTGCTGATATTTAAAAGGCTTACGTTAGCTAAATATAATTAAATAATATTTAGTCATAAAAAATATTATAATTCAAAGATGCGTCTAGGTTGCAATTTCTATGTGAAAAAAACATTCAATGATGTTCACCTTAAAATGTTGCATACCGCCAGATACCCTGATTGTACGTGGATTTAAAATCTTTTACCGCTTTTTAGGAAATCGTGTTAAGGACATAATTTATACCGAAATTAAGGAGACAAATATTTGTGGTGAAAAATATAATCACGCTGACGTCAATCGTGATACAAACTGCACATATCGGTGAGGAAATGCAAAGATATTGTTTTGATAAGTATGTGAAGTCAGCCTTAACAGTGGTAGAGTTTAAACATCTTCGCACGAATGGGTCGGCTAGCCCGGTGTACCACGACCTTTTGGTCGGAGAAGACAGGCGTGAGGTGGACGCTATTCCGCGTCCAGTCTGATAAGTGTGGTGCCGGAGGCCCAACTTTAGTCCCTTTTCCTTCCCACCCATTTTCTTATAAGAAGAAGATGGGAAGGGAGCGTGGATTTGACGGTGCAGGATACGCATAGGAAGGGGAAATATCCTCTTTATGAGCGTTTCCTAATCCGTTGATTAAGGGTCTGCAACGCATTCGCTATTGCAGATGTCTATGGGTAACGGTCATTTCGCCAGTTTGGCGGATTCAGGTGGCCGCTTGCTTATTTGCCACCTTAGGTTATAAAAAACATGCAGTGCATCGTAATTGACTATGGGTCTATTTATCCTATCTTAGAGTAGGCTCCGAGCCCTTCAGTGAAGACGTACAGAGCTGGCGATGTGATGAAGTCCATTATATCAATCAGCGGCTTCAAAGAGTCAAGACACTTTTAACTAAAAAAAATCTTACAAATAATATAAATGCTAAAGTTTAATCAGATTTGTAGTTTGTAGCCTAAATTGTTGAATGTATTTCAACGAAAGGCATAGAAGTATAGGATAGTCTGGAAGAACACATGGGATGCTAGCTTTTGTTTTGTCCCACGCGGCCGCGTCGTGGGTGAAAGGTAGTTAGATAATAAATCAAAGCTTACATCGCTTGATAAATCATGTCATATCTAATATCTTTAAATCTATATCACGATTGACTATATTGGTAACAAATCTTTGACATGATTTTGATTCGCTGCAATTCATTCTACGTGTAGAAATGTTTACTGGTACATGATATTAATGTTTTCAGTCAGTCAACTGTATTTAGCTCTTATATTAGTAGAATGTGAGAATAAAGTATGCTAAAAGAAGGTAGTAACCGCTGGCTATCGACATCTGAAAACAGTTAAAAGCTAATAGAGAAGAGAACTAGAAATGGGCCTAATGTTGCTGGGATTTTTTTCGCACCAAGGTCGGCACAATAAGTGCTCCATGCATCACTATCAGCCGTTATATCTAAATTTACCCTCATCTTAAGCGTATCCTCTTTCATAAAATTCATACAGTCATCTTCGGCCTTACTCTACCTAAGATCTATCTCTATACAATAAAATTATTGGTAATTTACCTTAGTAGTTATTATTGTCTACTTAATAATTCTATGACTAGGGATCAATGTAATATCTCTATATTATTTTTAAAAGAAAAGCGAAGAATTTAACTTTGAGATATCGTTACTATTTTGTTTACGTTTGAATCTCGCAATTTGATTTGACCCGACTGACAAAGAGGGTGATGTTTTTCACGTGTGTTAGTTTGTTATTATTTTTATGCATTTCCACATAAACTAGCAATAGATCATTTTGGATTAATAAGACAAAAATAATCGGATTAAAAATGATAAAAAAGCGATTTTTAAGTACCCATCAATTATGTCCCTAATATCTATGTCACATTGAATATGTCCATCGACGAAGGTGACATGGTATCAATCAATTTTTAACCTTGACCACCTGATTTTAAGTGTTTATGTCTAAAGATACACACGATTCGATCTTCGATCAGAAGCATCCAGAATTTATAGCTGAGCGAGGTCCCGATCCGATCAGCACTGCAATACACATTTTATATACTTTGTTTGTCCTGTAATTACGTGTTTATTATCCTCTTTTTAATTACTTTGTTGTGTTTTTTTCCCTTATACCTAATTGTGTTGCAGTGGTGATAAGATTAATTGAAATTAAATCTTATTCTAATCAGTGCGTTATCCGACAAATCTTACATATTATGGACATGTTATGAGAAGGGATGAATCGCATGTAAAAAAGACGTTCCTTATGATTGTGGTACACCAGTAGAGGTAGAAATACAAAGAGATGGATTGCGTAAAAGATGACGTGAAGAAGGAAGTGAAGACTGAGATGACGGACGATAGATGGAGGATAATAATCGTGCGTCGACTACGGGAGTAGGATAAGGTATAGGAGATGATGATGTCTTTGTCTTTCGGTTGGATTATTAGGGGAATCCCCGCGTAGAAAGTCTTATTACATTTCGATGATAAAAAATCGATAATGTTTTTACCCATGACAGGATAACAGCGCATCTATATTACGTGATGTGTGTGAAAATAAGAGATAGAAGTGACACATCTAAAATTCATGTGCAGTACACACCTGGCTAATACAGGTGGTCAGTAGCGCTTAATAACTGGACTGACATTCGACTGGAAACAGTGAGTACATATAATTATGACTGGCCGGCGCAATGAACAACTATACTAGGCAAGTGAACCAGGCTTCATGGTAAGTTGTAAGTGCGTGATCATATGAATAGCGCCATAAGAACATGTATACCTTTGACTAAACTATCGCACAACTGTTTAGTCCCGCTTTGATTCCTATGAGCTTATATGGAGGGGCACTCGATTTTTAGTTGCGTAACAAAACAGTTGAATGGGCTGCAAAACAATCGACAATCGCACAACAGTTTTGCGTTATTTTATTCAAAGGTATGCGTCCGCTGTAGCTTTACACGATATAATAGTTTAAACCGGTTTTTTCTTCGTGAGTTCCATCACTAGTAAGATGAGAAACTCGCAGTAAGTCCGAAATTAATTTTTTTTACTTGTGAATGCGTGTATTCCATTACGTTTTATTACCTAAACGTCTTGTCCGATTTCTGTGCCGCTCATTTTCAAATTATAAATACTTTATTTTATTGTTTACATTTGTCAAGTTCTCAATTGTAAATGTCAAAATTACCGAAAAGAATTATTCGAAAATTTGCTGTGATTGCTGACATCCTACCCCACAAAGTAGTGTGTGTTTACGTTTTATTATATTAGTATATATATATAGATATAGTTAAGAAATTCATAAAGTTTCTTGTTAAACTTACTGATTGTTTTTTTTTTTTTATTTACAAAAATTACACTTCTTTCTTGACTAAAGAAGTATGATGAATAAAATATGAGCTGTCAAATTAATCATTACTAAAAAGGTTTAATACCAAACTAGAAACTTCTTACTCGCTTCATTAATGTATAATTCTGCGCTAAACATGGCCATATGAGACCGCGAACACCATTTATGATTATATCTACATCTAAGAATTGTCGTTTGGAAGTGTTTGTAATGGAATCGGTGGATTCCTTCAAATACTCGTAAAAATATTTTTTTAGATCATTTTCTAATTTAAATATTAAGTCCGGATAAATATAGTTAGTCAATGTTTGCCATCTGTTATAAACCTCTAAACAGACGTTGAATCTTTGCTATTAAAACGCGAGAATTAAAAAAAAAGTATTTTTTTAGTTACATTTTTTACAATTGCTATTGTTTTGGGTAATTGCTCGCTTAATATGCACAGGCGCTAACATTATTTGCATTTCGGATGATTGCGTTGAAATAAGAGAATAATATTTTCGTTTCAAGCGTTACAGTTTATTACAAAACGAACGATTTCCTTTGGTCTCGATATGTTAAAAGAATTTAATAACATTGTTTTTAAAACGTAGATTATAAAACAGATGATTACTGGCTTTCTTTTGAAGTCGG